GATAGGAAGTAAGCTAGAAAGTTGAAATTTTGAGGTATGACGGCTTAACAACTTCCTGTTCAACGGCTTACAACTTTCTGGTCCCTTTATAGTCTTAGCTTTTCTTAATAAATATTGAACAAGCTATGTTTGTCTTAAAAAATATTGGCTAATAAACAATAACCAATCTCTCTCACAATAGTATGGGATGGTAATGGATTATATCTAACATGTTATAGCCTGAAAATATAATTCTATGAAGCGAAAAAACAATGGTGAATGGGCCGAGGGGTGAATAAAAGATGGAAAAAATGAAATAGCGCCGGAGTCTGTTGTGAGTTTATAGAGCAGCAACGTGCGAGAGTGTCACAGGTAATCGCGAAAGTTTGTGCTGCTTATGTGCAACGCAAACTTGAGTCTGCACCAACACATTTTTATGCGATAAACGCGAAAGTTTGTGCTGCATTTTTATGCGCTGTGTAACAGTAGTAGAAAACGCTTGTTGTTACGGAGTTGTCTCTGTGTGTTTGTGTTAAGCATGTGTGTATGTATGTCTGCAGCAAATTGTCCGCGACTTTCAAATCAGGAACCATTAAAGCTAGGAAGCTGAAAATTTAGGGGGACGTTCCCCACCCACGTGTGACCCAGCAAATTTAAATTCAGCCTCCCCGTACCCGTGGGTAACACGTACGGCCCCGTTAAAGTTGGTACGGGTATCACGGGAACCATGGAAGTCTTTTGCCCACCTGCGACCGCGAAAAATAAAATTCAGTCTTCTCCTGCCCACGGTTATCAGATATGGCTCCGTGGAAATTTTTGTGGGTAAATTATTATCTCGGGAACCGCGGAAGCTAGGAAGCTGAAATTTTAGAGGTCTGCGCACGTACGACTTCGCAAATTCAAATTCAGCGTTTCCTACGGCGCCATGAAAATTCTGGCGGGGAAATCATTGTCTCGGAACCATAAAAGCCAGGAAGCTGAAATTTTACGTTACTGCCTTCTCTCCATATACAGTCCGGCAATTTTAAGTTTAGCCTTCCCACGCGTCCGAGTATCCCTTACGACCCCGTGACAAGATTCTGTGGGGAAAATTATTCGGAGACCGCGAAAGTTGGGAATCTGGAACTTTTAGAGTGACCTGCTCTACCAACGTACGACCCCGTAAATTTGGATTTGGCCTCCACGCACCGGTGGTACCACGTACGGTCCCGTGAAAGTTTTGACAGAGAAATTATTATCTCATGTACGTGAAATTTTTAGTAGAAAATTCCGCAGCTTAAGAAACAGACAACATTTCAACTATTTTGCACAGGCCAAAGTACAAAGCAGTGAAAATCGTTAGCGGGCAATTGTTCGATGAACGGAGTTACACAAAACGCACAATCGCACCGGCTGCCCTGGCGCACGCCGCTATTTATTTGAATCGCTCTTATATCCACTGTCGATTGAAGCGATTAGTTCGATCTCAGTCTTAATTGAGGTCCAACTGTGGAGCTCATTAAAGATGTATACGATTTCAAGGAATGAAACACCCCTGTTTTAGCTACTTATTTTTTTTTAATTTTACTAAAATGTATCTTTAAAACTTCTATTGTAGCCCTTATAAAGAAGCTCTGAAAGCCTTGTCGGCTGGCCGTGTGGTTACAGTAACAAATGTATTACTCAGAGCGTTCAATGACGGTCCATTCATACACTATTCCGAAACATGCCTTCTGCTTGCACTGATATATGCTCGAAATTGTGGCGCAGAAGTAAGTGAACATTGGTGATGAACTGTCAGGCAAATATTCTGGATTTAGAAGACTGAACAATAGCTTCACTAATTTTTGGTGCCCGCTTCCCCAGTTATCTTGTCATTTGTGGAAACAATGGCTTTTTTTTGCTATTCTTCAGTGCTACAAATCAACTAATTAACGGAATCAGTTCTCGCTCCCCAACACATTTTAGTGCCATTCAGTTGATGCCAACGTAGCTTAGTTTTTCATGCTTCTAGAATTTTTATCATTTCTGGATAGAGTAGTGCTGTTTCATTCTGAAAATTTTATTGCTTAAGCAGTTCATAGGACACGTCATTTCGTCAAGGTAGATTTAGCTGGATCCTAGCTAAATCAGTGTTTTAGCACCGAGGACACATTCGAGGGTGATTTTTTTCGTTACTGAGTGATTAATTAAATTAAAAAAATAAGAAACCTTTTCCATTCTATCGGCAGCAAAATGTTTGAAATTTTAGGTTGGCAAATATCTGGAAGAATTTACCAATGAGTGGAGCAAAGCGCAGTATAAATACGGCTTGGAAAGGCGAAAGCAGATGTTCAGGCGCTATGTGAGCTTGTCGCGCGCTGTCCGCAAGGATCCGTTTGAGTAATTCTTAAAAGTCCACTGACCATTCCAACTAGTCTGTCTATTTCATATATGAATTATATACGACATCCATAGTTTTGTTGCAATTTTCTCCTTCACTGTTTTGATGAAACTGGGGAAAAGTCATGTCTGTGTGTGTATGTGTGGGTGTATATGTGTGTATATGTAAATTTCCGATGACAATTACTTTCTGCTAGAAATGCCATGTACAAAATTAGGGGCAAGCGTGCAAAAGCTGGAAAATCTGAGACGTCTGAGCTTAGCATATGTTTGCATTTGAATGATGTCGCCAGTTTCAAGCCAGTTGCCTTGGTGATTTTGGTGTACTCAATGAGGTAAAAATTCCTTTTTTTAACTGGGAATGCCTTTGGCAATTCTCACTCCTAAAAAAATTGGAATAGCAGCCTGGGAGCGAACAGGCAGAAGTTTCAATGAAATCTGCACCAGACCTAGCATTTCATCAGGCCTGGCCCTAAGACAACGAAACTTGAGGAAGAAAGACAAAATTCAGAAAAACGACAGCGCAATTTGTCGTTCATTTTAGCGCCAGAGGTAGAACTTTTGCTCTTCTCATATGCAGAGAACAAATTTCATTTCTATACAGTTTCGCCCAGTTTCCTAGAATTAGCACCGGCTTCGAATTTAT